TATTGTAATACATTATAATTATATAATGTATATTATATATTAAATATTATTATATATAATAATAATATTCATAACAATAAATATAGCTATCTCTATATTTTTTTATTATTACATAAACATATATATTATAATTACATGAACATCTAATGTAGATTTATAAATGATATAAATATATTAGTATATAAATTTAATCAATTTATAACATATATTACGTAAATATGCGGTCCCCTCCCTATTAATTAAATGATTATACTATATATTTATACAATATACTATACATGTGTATATAATAATTATAAATACAAATATAACTATATTTGTTATTATAAATATATTATATAACTATACTAATATTCTAATTAAAATATAATTAGTCCTTAAATATTTTAATTAATATATACATCACTACCATAATTATTCCAATTCTCCATTCCCAAACCCTGTTTGGAAACACCACATTAGATTGTCATGCTCACTTTTCGACAGATTAGTAAAACAGTAACTGAATTCGTACGCGGTTTCCTGAGCATCAGGAAAATAAAATGTGCTTGTTAATTTTATGGACGGTGTTGTTAGTATCAAATACAATTTTTGATACTTAACTGTAGTCAAACAACAATTCTTTCCTATTTTTCCAATACGACAATTGCAACTGCGTACTTTCACAATGTATACCTTGGCATTAATGTCACATATTCAGTGTTGATGCAAATCAAAAGCCATTAATGATATTTCGATGTTTTCAAATCCGTTACAAAATTGATTTGAATGAAGAACGGACAATCGAAAGCTGAATCGGATGCTTATGCTGCAAATTTGGGTACTAAACATACGTATTATACATATGTGTGAATCGTTTTCTATTTTAATTTAACGCCCAATCAGTACATTCACCTCCCGTTTTTGCTCTTCCGACTTCTTCTCTACCGCACGTGGCAAATTTGAAATTATTATATGTTCTAAATTCCGATCTTTCTTGACACACAACTACATTTACAGCGAGTTGTCGCATATTTCCATTCGTTACGGGTTAATTTGCAAATGCTGTGTACCTCTGGTTCAATCCTGCAATTATCTCTCCCTCTACTATCCTAAGCGGTCAATAGCATACGGTATTCCTTGCTAATTGGATGATCCACATCCGGACATGATATTCTGGTTCCATCTGTCCACGCGGGTTTGCACTTTAACCATCCGGACACGGCATTTTGGTTCAATTTGGCCACGTGCGTTTGCACTTCAACAAAACGTCTCTGTGAGCATAAAGGGCTTCTTGACCACGTGTCATGCTTTGCGGGGCTACCTGGACTGATTCCCTAGTAATTGTCCAGCCATCCGCTAAAAAAAGTATATAATTATATATGATATGTATATTATAATTAAACTATTGTATATAATTATATAATATTAGTATAATTATATAATATATTTATAATCATTATAATATATTTACAATAACAAAAATAGTTATATTTGTATTTATAATTACTATATACATATGTATAATATATTGTATAAATATATATTATAATTATTTAATTAATTGAGAACCGTGTATTTACATAATAGATGATATAATTTATTACAATTATATACAATTATATAGTAATATATTTGTATTATTTATTTGTCATTACAATTATTTATATGTTCATGTAATTATAATATATATGCGCATATAATAGTAATATAAAATATAATTATAATTATAATTATATTTATTATTATGAATATAATAATATCTAATAATATCTAATATAAAATATATACATTATAATTACATAATGTATAATTATAATGAATATTTATATATAGTATATTATTTTATGTTTATATTTATATTATAATATTTGTATAATTTTATCTAATTACATATAATATTTAATTTGATTAGTTACAAACTTACAATAATGATATTATTAGCTATGTGTATTATATAATGTATAATAGCATATGTATATAATTGATAATATCAATTGTACTATTAACTATGCATGCTTATTAATAAAAATTCTAAATTAGTCAAACTAAATTTAGTAATACATTTATACTAATATAGTTATACTGATACATTTAATTAGTAAAAATATGTTATATTCCATTTCCAAAAAACCCAACGAACCTAACCTGAACTATAGTAATGACATACATTTTTAATACTAAACCAAACAGATGTATTAGAATGACTGACTCCATTCCAAACCTAGGATTATTGATCCCCTATCCGAATCCGATTCCACTGTGTTAACCAAACGGCAACGAAGAACTGTAATACTAAAGTAAGGAAATATATTTGCAATTGGTTGATTCAGTAAAAATACCCATAATCCATTTCATGCATTCATGATACCAACATTGGGTGAAGTTAAATATGTATCGTTTCGGCATATGGACATATTTAAAATTTGTAATCTTTCATGGTGTATGTATATGTTTTTTATTTAAGCTAAATCCCCTCATTTCCCCATGCTTCCCCAATCCATGGTTCGCCATTTATATTCAATTTCATCAACTTTACTGATGATCTACCTCATATAAATTTGTATTAATCATGTGGTGTATATTTGTTGGCCATGATATTGTATGTATTGTTGTGTAATTAAATGGATAAAAGTCCTTGACTAGTAGTACTGGTTCTTTTTTTATGTCTATTACAAAAAATTGGATAAAATATGCAATGTTAATGCCCAGGTAGATAGTATTTTTCCACTATTTCATCTTTAGAACAGTGATAAAATACAAACATATAGACACAGACATACATGTGTTGTGTGTGTATTTGAAGACAACTTCTGCATCCAAAGCTAGCTCTTCAGCTTTTGTGTCTCCATTATTGTTTCTTAAGTATTACAAATTTTTGGAAATTAATGAAATGTCATTATTAGTTCTGTGTATGGATTCAATCGAAAAATATGGTTGTCTTAGTTAAGTTTAGTTCGTAAAGTTAAAGTCTTCCAAACATACCATACGAAGAAGTAGCAAGCAATGGCAATGATTTTGCAATAGCTTAAACAATTTGAATAAGTTACAAAAAATAAAATACCATCATGTTTGATATTGGTTTAGTTTACAAAAATAAGATTGAACAATTAAATGGCAAAACCTACTAATAACGAAACCTTCCTGAATTGCTTTAGACTTCGTATTAGACAGCGAAAAAATTGATTTTCAAGTATTTATTTCCTATAAAACAAAGTTAGGGAAAGATCATTTTTTTTAATTGTAATTGTATTAAATTTACAAAAATGAACAAGTTAATAGTGTAAACATGAAATTAAGGAAACTGTAAATGATATGATTTCGGGGAAAAAATTTATGCTACCAACTTTTTTGTATTTATCACGAATTCGCATATTGTGACTGTGAATTAAAAAATTTTCGAGATCGTCTTTTCATTAATTAGTTTTGTTTTTTTTTTGTACTATCGTTACTTTGAATGGAATGTGGGTTGCACGTTGTTTGTGAGCAACTTCTACAGAAACTATATAATCCTAATAATTTTTGTGATTGCTTAGTATATTTATGTCATGGGTATATATTGTTGGTATGTTGTTATTAATTTTACTACACGGTTGGTTGGCTGTAACAGTACACAAAATAGTACTTTCACAATTTTGTTCAATGTAAGCGCAAGCTATTCGTTGGTTGGCTTTATCTCCACGCGCGTTACCACTGCAACATAGGGTCCGTTAGTACCTCATTCTCCAAATACATGTGTCATGCTCTGCTCCTCTATCTACGATAGGAATGGTCAACGGGCTTCCTACCATAAAGGTTTCCGAGACAGAAACCAAAAAAAAAGTAGTAGTCAAGAATTGCGGCGCTGCCAAAGCTTGATCAAAAGCTTTGGCAACATCAGGTGAAGGCAAGAAACGAAAGGGCCAGGCAAGGGGCTGGCCAAGGAAAAAAACACCGGGGAGGGGGGTGGGGGTTGGCAGCGGCTATTTTGTTGTTGTCGTTGACGAGTTAGGTCAAGAGATGGTTAGGTATGTATGTGGGTTTGTTTAATTGGAAGTTGGGCCAAGGGTAAAGGAGTATCGGGCTAAGGCTGGAAGACATAAGAAAATGCTTGAGTTAGAATCTTGGATCGTTATTTAGGTCCCGAAAAAAAAATATTTTCCATAATTTTCCAGTGTTTGGTTGTTAAGTGAAAATATTTTCCGAATTCCTTTTTTCATAATTTTTCAGTGTTTGGTTTGTTAATGAAAATATTTTCTGATATGTTGCAAATATTTTTCTACTCTCAAAATATTCATTTCATTGCAAGTTAATTTTAGTTTCTATCCATTATAATCATATTATAATTTTTATAAAATAATATATATTTATATTACACCATGAATTCTTAAATGGAATTATTAATGATACTAATGAATTGGCTGGGAAAGAAGAGTTAAAAATCAGACGAAAACCTAGCTGAACACTATTTTTTATTGGTATAGTATCATGTCATTATGTTGTTCCTTTGAAAAGGGATAAGAACCTAAATGCAGAGAATCCTATATTGGAATATAAAAAGTGATAAAAGGGAGAAGAACCTAAATGCAGAGAATCCTATATTGAAATATAAAAATTTCAGCTCTAGAATCAAAAACCTTATTCATGGTACAGAATTAGAACCATTGGTGCATAAAAGCAGCCTAATCAAGCCTAGAGTGACTCAAATCCCTGCTTTAAATGTTGTTAGCCTCAGTTGGATAAAAAATCTGGAACAATTCAATGCATACAGAGGCAAAAATATGCCAAAATATAAAATATTGCTCAACAGAAACAAAAATCACATCTCCAAATGGAAAATGGTCCCAAAAATATCAGTTGCCCGGGTAGTAAATCATGGTTACAAAAGGAAACATCTGTACAACACGTCACCAATGTTCATGTGAACGTTTTACAGGAAAAAACTTAGTGACCAGAGCTTTGAACAAATCTAGTTGGCCTGCACCTACAACTTCCCAAGGCCACGACAAGTGGCAAGGTACTCAGTCAACCCTCCTTTTTTCCACTTCTAGATCACCTCCAAGGTTCAATGGTGCTAAAACACAACCAGGAAAAATAAATATCTTAATACGTGAGAGAAGCATCAAGTCCACTCGTGAAGCACAATCTATTATAACTCATAGGCCATACAAGAAACAATTATTCTGACAAGGCAATTGCATAATTCAGTTCACGTACTTTATTCGACGCCCCAATCTTTCTTGAACCTCTCGAGAGAAATCAAATGAAGTCTTTGACTCTTCGCCATAAATGCTTTTCCTAGCTTCTCATTTTGCACCAAATGATCGAATACCAAGTCCAGAAATTCTTTGCTATAACCTTCTATCTTCATAATCTCATCATGCAGTTGGTTGATATCAAGCTTGTTTGCACTAATTTTGTTCAAAGCAGCTGCCACTTCTCCAAGTTGTTGAGACATCTTTTAAATGTCTTCATTGCTACGATTTCTTTTACGATGTTGTTTGGTTCCCGATGATGTTGCTCTCACTTCTGAGGATCTTGCACTTGTCACTTCATTTTGTTCTACACTTGTCTTAGGAACAAATGGAATTTCCAAATTCACATCGACAAATGATTTTGCAAAAGACCCGGTGGCCAGATCTTTCCCAACCACAACTAGGGGTGGGCAAAAAAACCCGCCGGTCCGAAAACCCGACCAACCGATCCGATCCGATCCGATCCGAAAAATAGGATATCCGATCCGATTTTTCTTAGAGGTCAGATGCGGGTTAGGTACCCATAAAAATGGATACGGATACGGATACGGATCAACAAAATAAAAAATCGCGGGTACCCGACCCCGCAGGGTATATTATATAAATATTAAAAAATTAGGGGTCATTTTATAATTTTTAATCTTAAGTGTAAGTGAAGTGGCTCACAGCCTCATATTCTAATCCCATCTCATCCGTCTTTCCTCATCTTGTTCGAAGAAAGCGAATATTCTTGATGAAACCTAAACCAAATGAACAAAACGAAGAAAAATTTGTGAAACTCTATCATAAAAATTGTTTATCCCTTTCATCCTTTTCATTTTTATTCTACCTCCATCGATCTTTCCTACAAAATTTTCATCAATTCAATCAAAGATTTGTGTTCGGAGCTCAAATTTTCTATTAGCTAGATAATTAAAACATTTGTGTTTTTCATTTATTTATTTATTTGATTTATTTTATTGCAATTATGTCTCTTTTATTTTAGTGAAAGAAATTTATTTTTCTTTTTCATCACCTTTAATGCCATAAGGTATATTCCAAAGATGTAAGAGAGTTGGAGAAGATTTTTCAAGGTTATTTTGATTATACTTTCTCCAAAAATTATCAGCTCTATTCAATTCTTTTCAGGACTTGATTCCACAGTCGACTCATTTGTGATGCAGTCTTGTACCATAATATTCTTAAGGAAGTTAGGAAAGTTGCCAAATACTTATTATCCTTATGTTTGTTATATTGTAAAAGGATGAAATGTGTGAGAATGGTGATGTATAGGCTTTGATTATAATATCTCTTCCAATATTAATTGGAAAGCAGGTTTTCTTTATTGGAAAAAATGTTGATATTGGTCCGTTTGTTTCGGGTGAAAATGTTTTTTAGGAAAATATTTTCCTAATTTCCCGTGATTGGTTGCACAAAAGTTACTGAAAACATTTCCCTATGTAAAATATTTTCACCCGTCTTATAGAAAACAACTTCCCTTCCAAACTTACTGAAGTTGTTTTCCGAAATGCATGCATCCCGCCTGTAGTATGTTCCAAACTTACTGAAAACATCTTGTAGTATGTTCTTTTTTTTTTTTTTAGTGTAAACAGGAGAACTCGAACCCAAGACCTCTTCCTTACACTCCCTCCCCCGTACCACCCAACCCAACCCTCCCCCTAGTATATTCAAAATAAATAAAAAAACTCATCCTGCTCATCCTATACTAGTAATTAATTATGTATAATAGGGACATTCTTTTCTAGAGAAACTTTCAACAGTGAGAGTGCAAGATATATGTCACAATAAGCATTGCATGTGATTGATATTTGACACGAAATGGCCAGCATTTTGTTTATTGCTTAAGGAGATATTTTTTATTCATATATACATTTCTCCAAGATTTTTTAAAGTTAAACAATGAGATAAATTTTCTTATTTTGCATGGGAAGAAGTATGTAGTTATAATGTGTAGAAAATAAAGATAGAGATAAAAGTGAAAATATTCCAAAAGTTAAATAAACACAAGAAAAATGAAGTAAGAAAATATTTTCAATAAGCTAACCAAACACTTGAAAATGATGAAAGGGAAATGATTTTCATGGAAAATTACTTCCACGGAAAATATTTTCCCAAGGAAAACATTTTACTTCCAACTAAACAGACCCTAAGTGAAAACATTTTTTTTTTAGGGTACCCGCCCCTTTTTGTTCAGGTTAGGGTTAGGATCACAAAATGACTAATTTGATATATTAGGGTCGGGTCAGTCAAATCATGTTAGGCGTAGGTACCCGACCCGTTCCCACCCTAACCACAACAGCCATTTCATCATACAAAATTAGGTGGCCGCTTCAGACCGGCAAGCTCATGAATATTTGACGATTCTACTAAATCGAACATCAGAAGTGTAGCATTCCATTCCTCAAGAAGTGCCTTTCCAACGCGACCAACGAAACCACGAAAATGGCAACACATCAAACACCTCTCAATAATACTTCAAGACAATTTCCTGTGGCGATGAGTGGTGTTGACTCATTCAACATTCCGGTCTAGAACACCTCCCTTCAGCCACCACCCAAAATGCAAAGAAAAATGCAACAGCATGAACAAAGAACAAGAAAATAGCAAACAAAATAAATAAAAAAGGGGGGCAGTTAAGTTAAATGACTTGAGAAGCAAACAGTAGCCTGAAGGGGAGGGACCCTGCTGGTTGAGTTAGGAATTTAGGATTTTGCCCATCAGCCCACCATATCAACCATCCTCCAGACTTCCACTTATAAACAAAAGCTTTCTTAGCCTTCATAATCATGTCAAGACAGAGTTGCTCTCCATCGTGTGCCGACTCCTGTAAAAAATAAAAAATGTCACCTTCCACATTGTTCGCGACACAATTGTTGACAAATTCTGATGGCGGTTGGCTTTAAGGGCTGATGACGTCCACTTCTTCTAGCAAGGTGCCCTCTTTTATTCAAGCTTGTTAATCCAAGTTTTGTGGCATGCACTGTCCTGTCCCCACCACATTGGGGCCTGGGACCGGCACCGACTCTTGCCGCTGTCTGCAAAATCTCGCTCATTTCCCAATTCCCGTCACCATTTGCCTCCGCTGATATAGGTTTTTTGGTTAATCAGCATTAAATGTTGAAAATGAGAACTATTGATGAGAATTTCCTTCATGCTATGGCATAATAATGGATTAATCAAAGTGCATAACATTATACGTAGTTGCAGAGGCATTATTTCATATCATGTCATCAACCCACTTTCAAATCAACCCTGACTTGAGGTGTTTCACTTGGGGCTTGCAGCAGAATATATCGAATTTGTTCGTTACTAGGGAATGATGTTGTCTCGTCGACTCGTGATGTAATGGAAGACCTCACCACACACTGACTTATAAACCATGAGAGGTATCATTGCTGCGGTCTAAATCGGCTGCATAGCATACTATTATGCACACCTAATACACTTGGGATCCTCAGTGACATGTTTTCTATGCCAACCCAATGCCACCTATAGTATTGTGCCAAGTGTCCTGTTATTATTTACACTTTAATTTTTTAATAATTCAACTTGGTTTGGTTTAACACAAGTTTTCTCTACCTCTAAAATTTTGAACCAAACTTAACCAACCGGTCTAATTCATATACCAATACTTTTGTAAGGCAACCACTCAAGATCAGTTGCTTTGGAAAAAAGAAAAAGATAACCCTAAACAAAATTGCCTCCAAAGTCCAAACCTTTTCATCGTTGATTGCTTTGAACAAAGTCAAAAAGAGAAAAAGTCCCTCAAAGCTTATGGCACCGTTGCCTAATAAGCTAAAACTGTAGCCTTCGACTGTTGAAGCAAATTGACAAGATCTATTCAGGAAGTACGCAAATTAAAGCCCTACCATCCCTAGCTTTCTCGAGCAAAGAACAAACCAGATGGCATCCCTAGCTTTCTGGGAAACTATCTATTGCGAAGGAAACAGTTATGTCCCATGACCATCACCATCAAAAGGTGAAGCATAATCTTGGGAAGCATTAAATATCCCTCTGAGTAATGGCAGAAGCAGCAAAATGGCGAGCACCTACAAGTTTTCTGTTGCATGACCCAGATGGAAAATCTGGAGTTACTTCACAAATGCCAGTAAAGTGCTACGGTACTGGATATGAATTTTCAGATGTAGTATCAGAGAAACTGGGATGGGCAAAAGAAGGTGGATCTGAAACTGCTGGTGAAGGGATTGTTATTGGATTCATCGACACGGGAATTGAACCAAAATTAACCACTTTGGAGGCAATTTTGTTTAGGGTTATCTTTTTCTTTTTCCCAAAGCAACTGATCTTGAGTGGTTGCCTTACAAAAGTATTGGTATATGAATTAGACCGGTTGGTTAAGTTTGGTTCAAAGTTTTAGAGGTAAAGAAAACTTGTGTTAAATCAAACTAAGTTGAATTATTAAAAAATTAAAGTGTAAATAATAACAGGACACTTGGCACAATGTTATAGGTGGCATTGGATTGGCATAGAAAACATGTCACTGAGGATCCCAAGTGCACCTAATAATGGCAAAGAGGAGCCAAAAGCAGAAGGCTGATAGAAGACAGCTTTTACGAAAGGAAAATAACTTCACAATAATAGATAAGGAAGTTATTTTCCTCCTGTCTGTCGGTGTAACTTATTTTTTGTCATAAATTATTTTTCCAAATTAATTGACAACCCAACGAAAAATATGGAAAATGTTTTCCGGAAAACCTTTTCCACCTAAACAAACAGACCCATAATGGCAAGTATACTTGGGTTAGAAATATAGTATGGGTTTGGTAAATATTCAATAGAAAATTTTTAGAAACAACTAGGCCATCTTTTATGGACTAACATAGGAGTTAAATTTCAAACCCAACCTAGAGATAATTTTTGGAGTTTAAAGATTTAGTCATTTAAGCTTATAATTAATTAATTTGGTCTAAGATAATTAAATGGAAATCTAAAACATCTTAATCTAACCTTATTAGATAAATTTATAGAATGTAAGATAAGTCCTAGATTGTTAAATGAAACGCTTAAAATCATAATAATAATAATCATAATAACAACAACAACAACAACAACAACAACAACAATAATAATAATAATAATAATAATACTAACGATAACACTA